AGAAGACGTAGTAGTAGTAGTAGTAGCAGCAGTGAGCAGCAGCAGGAGCAGGAGCAGCAGTAGTAGCAGTTGCAGCCGCGACAATCGTCGTCACTTTAGCTGCAGCAGCAAGAGCAGAAAGAAGCAGCACTAGTAGGAGTAGCGGCAGAAGCAGGTGGAGCTTGCAGGAGTTGTTCTTTACCAGTTGGTAGGCCGGGTCCTTATACGATCGTTTAGCAATCGTTCTGGTGGGGGGAGGGCCGCCCCCGAACCACCCCACTGAAATGATTCAGAGGTGGTTGCGTGATTGGATAAGATGGGCTTTGCCAGCATCCTTACAGTATTTTGTGTCTTGCCGCTGCAACGCGTGTTCGCTCAATATCGCCTGAGTTCCTGCGACAGTTTCAATGGTGGTTGGTGTTATGGCGATCTCCCGAGTGAAAACTTGACACCAATTGGCTGCGTCTTAGAGTAGCATGCACAAGGAAGGGCTTAACATCGAATGTCTAGCAGACGAAGTGTTCAAGCGGAGGCGTGCTTACGTCACAACGTTGGCTGGTGAATCTAGTCTGATTGATGCATATGGGCATAGTGAGCAGCTTCGCCTTTTTCAAGTCTCCGGAGCATGCGCTTGCCTGGAGGCTTGTTTACGAGCCTTCGGCGGAGGACCGCAATTTGTCTCGGGGGTCCCGTGCATCTGTCACTGGAGTGCGAGCAGCAGGAAGATGGCGAGCCATAGCAAGGCCACGAAGCAAAAGCGGTGTCGGAAACTTGGACCTTTCCGTGCCCTGAGAAAGAATGTCTGCTGTAAGATCCCAAACAGTGCAAGAGGGCCGTCAGGTTGTCCGGCTTCTGACGCGCATGGACGAGGATGAGGAGCTGCCGCGAGTGTGGCTTGGACTGGAACCGTTCCCGCAGTGCAGCGCAGTATGGCAATGCAGCCCCTTGGTGGTGTGTTGAGGGCATGGCCCCTGCGTGACCGTGGGTTCAAGCTGAGCTGCCAGTGCCAGGCAGCTCGTGGGCAAGGTCGGTGACTCAGTCGGAAGCAGAACCTCACGCCTGCAAGGGCGACTGATGCACGACCTGAATTTTATGCTTGTGTAGCTTGTGCTATGCTGCACTTTGGCACGATGCAAGGTTGCTTGACTGCCGCCGTTTTTCCTCATCAGCTGCCGTAAGAAAACGTGTCATGTGTCGCAGATGCCGCGCAGCTGAAAGGATTTTAGACAGGTCGTGACTGCTCCACTCACGGCCCAAGCCAAGTAACACCACGGGCCAAGATCGGTTTAGAGCCGGATAGAAGTCTAAAGAGCTCGTCTTCTCTAGAATCGCTGACGCAGCCACCGGGACCGCACTCGCAGTGTACATACAGTGCCAGTCTGACTTTCCTACGGTTTTGACAAAGCCACAGACGACTGGTGCAGTGGCAGTTCCAAGCGCGATGCCTCGGGCTCGGGTCCCAGCTGGCTGGGGGCTTCCGGGTCAGTGGGCAGATGCCAGGAATGTGGCTGATGTGGATGCCAAGATGCTGAAGAAAAAGTGACTGAGTGCATGCGTGTGTGTGTGTGTGTTTGTCTGTCTGTCATGTATTGTGTTTGGGGATACTGCCTGAGGTTCAACTCCGGTTTTTCCTTAGCCTGGATTCACAGCAAGTTTTTTTCCATTTGGGAGAGCAGGCTCTAAGCACCCGTAGTCTTCCTGAGCCGTGAGGGCGCCTTCTCCACAGCAGCGGAGTCGTCCGGTCTTACGCCGGAGCCGCGAAGAGAAAAGGCCTCGGCAAAGAAGGAGGCGCAACCCGGCCGAGCGATATTATACTACAGTGATAAGAGGGAACCCCCAAAATATTATAAGTCATTATTGAGGCCCCTATAAGAATTATAATAAGGAGCCCTCAAAACCCTGTCTGCATCCAAACTCAAAGTCTTCGATGCATCCAGAGAGCCATTGCCAGCTCTCGGAGACTGAATCCTTGTCATGGATTACGCGGAAGCCTTGGTTTTTGTTCGAACTCTCCCAGCTCCTTAAGACACGAGCTCCAGCTACAATCAGCTCCTTGTCAGGAGGCGCCGTCCGCATCACAGGCATCCCCCTTGGCATTTGCCTCGCGGATAGGCTGGGAAGGGAAAGTTCAGGCAGAGCATCCCAGAATTGTTGGTGCGCCTACTGCACTTCTGATTGAGAGGGTTTGAGTTGGGGTCCTTCTGCACTCTAGTCACGATCCTGGTTTCCGATGACAGCCGGCTTTCTTGCGGTCTCGCGTTGGAACAGCCAAATCGAGTGTCATCAAAAGTGCTGCAACACCCGGCATGTCTGAGTTTGTGGGATGGTGTCGTTTCACTTGTCTCTGCACCCTGGCCCTATCCTGCAGGTGACCTGATTGAGGTGAAACGGCTCCTCGATGCGAAGTCAGACCCCAACTCGGTCGATGCGGTGCCTCAGCCTGCATCGGCGTCTGTGGATCTCGGCTTTGCCCAGTCATTTCAATCATCATGATTTCCACTCTGATCCTGTCACCGTTAAGCTAACAGACGAGACTGCAAGACACTTAAAAACTTGTCGCGTGCACTCCTTCAAGCTCTGAAGCCCCAGGCCATGGGATGTATAGTAGTTCGTAGACACTAGAAATATCCTTCCTACTGATAGCTCGTGCCAAGTCATCGCCAAGGTGGGGGAGACTCCACTTTTTGAGGCAGCAGCCAGTGGGGACGTCAGCGCGACCCGGCATGCACAGTGTCACGTGATATCATCTTCTCGGTGGAAGGCCGCAAGCGCCAGAAGCCCGCCTCAGGTTTTGGCCAGCCTTATCCTTGCAGGAGCCGATCCACAGCAGCATCTCTCAAATTGGAACCCATGGGCGGTAGTGGGGTTCGTGTTTCCGATTGTAAAGCTGCCGCATGGGACGCCGCGGCAAACGAGGCACGAATTCTCGCGAGGCATGGATTGAAAGCCCACTAGTCTCAGTCATGGAGTTTTTAACAAAGAGTCAGCCGTACTCCCACTGCTGCTCCGACAACAACAGGAACAACAATGCCGCCGTCACCGCCACTCCACCACCAAAACGAAGAAGAAGAAGAAGAAGAAGACCGTCAAGAAGAAGGGGAGCAACTCCTGCTGCTGCCACTCCTCCCCCTCCTCATCCAGCTGCTGCTGCTGCTGCTGCTGCTGCTACTCCCGCCACTGCTACCACCACCAGGACGACGACTACTGCTACTGCTTCTGCTTCCACTACACCTGCTGCCCCTCCTGCTGCTACCACTCCTACCGCTGGTGCGTCTGTTGCTGTGAGGAGCAAACGGCACTATTAGCAAGGGTTGAAGCAGAATAGTAACTATGGGCCATTGCTGTGCTGTACAACCTGCACGCCCTAAAATTTCAAAATCGCGAACTGCCCTCAACCCCAAACCGCCTCAGGCATCAGTCCTTCATCGGCTCCTTGGCCAGTGACCTTTGTTCCAGCGAGGCGGGTAAGGTGATGGAGTCTGGCATGGCATGGTCAGGCTTGCTGACTGCAGCACTTCAAAACCTACCGCAGGTCGTAAGCCCCCGTAGGCTTACGCATGCTCGTGGATGACCATGATGCAGCACTGGGGCGCTGGGAGCTTCCGATTGAAACAACCTTGGGTAAGGTCTCTGAGCCGGCGATGTCTCGCTTGCCACATCTCACTTGGTGCAGAGGCGTGTGCCACGCTGCTGCGCCTTTGCTCCGGGGAGGAAGTGTCTCGGCAAGCTCTGAGGATTCCAAAGGCTTCAGAATGCCAGTCAGCCTAGAAATTCTCGGCTCCAAGGAGTGCAGCCACGCCTTTGCTCCCCCCCCCCCCCCCCCC